GGACAATATTTGATGATATGGCCCGGGTCACCGCAGAAAATGCACTGGCCCCGGTCCAATCGTTGTTGCCATAAAGCCTGGTCCAGACCCAAAGATTCCCAAGGCCTACCCTGAGGTAGCCCTGGGTGCCATCCTCCTATTCTATAGGGATCCCTCCTCCAAGGACGGTTTTGCGGGGGACCTTGACCCCTGCCTCCCGCTTGGCGGTTTCCTCCTCTACCGCCAACCCCCTGATCACCTTGGAACTGGCTCCCTAAGGCCCGGCCCCCTTGGCCCTGGCCTCGTCCTCCTTGCGGCCTCCCTCCGGCCGCGACAGCAATGTAGGATCTCCCCTGACCCACACCGCTGTCCGCCTCCTCTAATCCCCACTCAATCTGGTCGTAGGGAATCTCATCTACACTACCCTCATCTAAAGTCAAAACAAGGCTATCCTTGGTCTTCACCTGCCCTGAGATAGTGCGGCCTTTCCATTGCTTACCCCTGTCCAAGTCTTTGTGCCAGAAGGTAGACAGAGACACTGACTTTGCTTCAAAAGCCACCACCTCACGACTAAGAGAATCGTAAGTGGTGGCAGGRTCTTCGCTTTTCGCGAAGAATTGCCCTCGAAAGGCTTCGGGCATAGCCCGGTAAAAGAGGTTGACCAACTGGCCCTCTGTGACCCCATGGTCAGGGACGGCCACCAACTCATCCATTGTACCCTTGAGTGCCCTGACACTCTTCCATTTACGAGAATGGATGGTTTGGAGCTTGTCTGAGGCCTTGACACAACGAGCGACATCAGCAAATCGCTCGCGCAGCAACTTCAGAAATTCGGTGAGGGACGTAAATGAGGAGTACGCAACGGGATCATCACTACAGTTGGCAGCGCAAACTAGGGACCTTGCAAAACTGGCGGCCTCATCTCTCAGTGCGTGGATAGCAATTAAGACTTACTATCTATAGAGACCTGTTGCAAGTGCACATAGGTCTTAATGTTGGCCTCCCAATTGTCAAAGTTTTCCTCCCTCTTCCCGGCGAGGAAGACTTACTTCCTCCTCCTTGGGAGCTGCCGCCTTGACGCCTTCAATGGCGCCGGCGCAGAACCACTCAGTCTTGTCGAGGCGATGACCCACCTCGACTCCAACGGCGCCTACCAGCTCACGAGCAAAGTCTCGAAAGCCCAACCGTATCGAGCGCACCGCTATGTCCTGGCTTCTACTAAAGTCATATTGGTCTGCCTGAACCCGTGCTAGGCATGCAACGCTTCGAGCTATGACTCGCATCTGATTTGGGAGATCGGGCTGGGCGGCTAATTGCGCCTCTATATTCTTCACTTCCTCTAAGGCCTCTGCCGCCTCCGCTGCCTTGTCAATTCTCCTCTTCTTCTCCCGCATCACCGCTAATTTCCATTCCATCCTCTTCTCGTCTTCCAACGCTTGACGTTTCAGAGGGTCTTTCTCTGCCTCCCAAGCCTTCATGGCGGCTTCTTGCTGATCCTGCGGGATGTACATACTAACCTCTTCTCCCACAGTCAGGTTGGCAACCCATTCAGATATCCTCTTCTCTAGGTCTCCACCGGTATTACTACTGGGCTGGCCACTACTCCTTTGCAGTGGCGGTCCTTCCTCTTCTTCATCCACCTCCTTCAGCTTCTCTTCTTCTTCCTTTTTCAACCTCTCTTTTTCTTTGGCCATTTCTTCCTCTATCTTCTGCAATTTGGCCGCCTGCTCCTCCTTCAAGGCCTTCTTCTTGGCCTCCTTCTTCTCCTTCTTCTCCTGCAGAATGGCGGCCATCTTCTCCTCCTCCTCCTTCGTGTAGGGGGTGGTGGAAGTCCCACCGCGAGTGGGCCCTACTCTACACGTGAGA